GATCGAGCGGTCCCATGGCATCACGGAGGCGGACCGGCCGAACGGGTCCGGGTACTCGCGCGGCAGCCACCCAAGTTTGGCGAGGTGGGCGCCGAGCGCGGCGACTTGGCGCTCAAACGGCGGCAGGACGTAGTAGTGCGCGAGCGCCTCTGAGCCGTCGGAGAAGGCGACGCGGAGCCGCGCCTCACCGTAGCCCGCCGCAGTCAGGCGGACGGGGACGAAGCCGCTGGGGAGGGGCGCACGCAGCGTGGCATCGAGGGTGGCGGTGTCGGCGCCGGAGGGAGGGTCGGCGCGGGCGGTCGAGACGCTCGCGCCGGCCGGCGGCTGAACGAAGAGGGTGCCGGGCAGGTGCGGCGAGAGGACGTACCCTGGCACGGCGCGCAGCACGGCGGAGCCCATCTTGGCGAGGGCGGCGTCGCGCGTGCGCGGGCCGGCCTCGGCCAGCTGGAGGCGGAGGGCGATGGAGGAGGTCTCGCCCGGCTGAAGCAGGAGAGTCGTCGGGTCGACCCACGGACGCGCCGCGCCGCCGCCGGAAGCGGCGAGCCGCGGCATCGCGCGCTTGCCGTCGGTGGTCGGCCACGGCGTCTCTGGGTCCGTGGCGAAGGGGGGGTACTGCTGCTTGAGCGAGTCCGACATGGCGAGGTGAGGCCACTGCGTGTTGTTGGCCTAGGTGGCGAGGTATGGGGAGACATGGGGAGATATGGGGAGATATGGGGAGATATGGGGAGATATGGGCAGCCTAGGTGGCGGGTACGCCACCCTCGGGGCGGGGGTGCGGTGCTGTGCGGTGTGCACGTGCTCCGCTTCTAAGGCTGCTCGCCCACTCCGCCGCCCACGCCGCCGACGCGACGACCCACTCGTACGCGTCTCCGCCGCCCAAATCCTCCATCATCGGCCTCCACGCCTCGAGCGGGCTGCTGATGCGGTCGGCGGGCGTGACCAGGAGTGTCGCCTAGAGGAAGGTTCCAGGAACGGTCCAGGAAAGGTCCAGGAAGAGGTCGGCGGGCGTGACCAGGAGTGTCGCCTCGTCGCCCACCACTCGGACAAACTCGACCCAGCCGTGCGCACCTGTGAAGAGGGAGGTGTGAAGAGGGCGGGTGTGAAGAGGGCAGGTGTGAAGAGGGCGGGTGTGAAGAGGGAGGTGTGAAGAGGGAGGTGTGAAGGGGCGGGTGTGAAGAGGGGAGGTGTGAAGAGGGCGGGTGTGAAGAGGGAGGTGTGAAGAGGGCGGGTGTGAAGAGGGCAGGTGTGAAGAGGGCGGGTGTGAAGAGGGAGGTGTGAAGAGGGAGGGTGTAAGAGGCGGG